GCGTAGGGCACCAGCATTTCAGGGAACAGCCGTGCCCACCACGGCTTCATTTGCAAGAGAAGGGAACCACCAAACCCTGTATCCACTTAATCCCTGCAGAGCCGGACAGCTCCAATGCAGACCAAACCCAGCGGATTTCCCAAGCTTCAGATCCATAATGAGAGCTTTATTATTAATTAATTAATGGAGATTGCCTATCTCCTAGAACTGGAAGGGACCTTGAAAGGTCATCAAGTCCAGTCCCCCACCTTCACAGCAGGACCAAGTACCATCCCTGCAAATTTTTGCCCCAAATCCTTAAATGGCCTCCACAGGGATTGAACTCACAACCCTGGGTTTAGCAGGCCAATGCTCAAACCACTGAGCTATCCCTGCTCATTTTGCAGACCACCGATTAACAAGCCCCTTTGCCCCTGCAGTGTCCAGGTCAGAAGACACAACTAGAAGGCCAACAGGTAACTAGCAGAGGGGCCCGGATTTGGTTTCACACTGGGGTTTGACACTAAAGTGACATCAGCCGAGTTAGTTCAGGTTTACACGGTGGCAGGATACTCAGGAGCAAGGAATGCCTCCCACAGATACTCTCAATGCCGGGGTAGGCAATAATTTTTACCTGGGAGCCTCTCCCAGATTTTGGAAAGTGGTCGAGGGCCGCACTCTTTCATGATATTAATGGAGGTGATGCAGGGTCTGGGATGGAGACTGGGTGCAGAAGGGAGCCTGGGGTAAGGGACTGGGGTGCAGGATGGCGACTGGAATCTGGGAGTTTGGGTGGAGGAGGTAGTTGAGACCTAGGGCAGGAGACTGGAGTGCAGGGGTTTGGGATGTGACGTAGGGTAGGAGGGGATTATGATGCCAGATCTGGGAGGGGGTATATGGGTGTAAGAGGGGAGAGGGTGTGGGTATGTTGGGGGGGGGTAGGGCAGACAGTTGGGGCACGAAAGGGCTGGGGTGCCAGAAGCAGGCTGTGGCCAGGAGACTTACCAGCCAGCAGCCAAACTAGCCTGCCTGCCGAGCTCAAAACGTTTCTCAGCCAGCCTGCCTGGCCATGTACTTCACTGAATAACTGAGCAGAGAAGAGGGGGCATGGTTCTTCTTGGCTGCCTGTTATTCCAACAAGCAGCTCCGATTGGCTAGTTTCCGGCCAGAAACCGACCAATGGGATTGTGCTGGGGCAGGGTGCCTCCTGAAACTTCCCTCCTGCCTTCCAGTTTTAAAACAGAAACGGAGCCCTGCAGCTGTGTTTCTGCATAGGCAGACGAGGCTAGCTGGGGAGCCTTCCTGGGGCTCCCTGCTGCCCGGATTCGGTGGCTTGGTGGGCCGTACTTTCCCCAGGCCTGCTCTATGCTCTTGGTGAACAGAGTACCCTGAGCAGCCACTGCCGTCACTGGGAATACCAGCTCTTCAACATCACGCCTGTGTAGAGTCACTCCCTGTGTGTTTAGCTGCACCTCCGAATGGCAATTCTAGCTCTTAGCCAGCACTTTGCCTCTTCCAAACGCCATGCCAATACCAGCACCGCCCTGCGCATGCAAGGCTGTAACCAAGCCCCTGGCATCAAAGGGGTTAAGCCCCCAAACTGAGTTTCCTGGCTCACAGCTGTCCTTTATCTGTTGTGATTAAAAACATTCCTGCAGATTTGTTAGATCTAAATTAGAGATGAAATGTATTAAATCATTACACATTTCGACACTTTACAAAGATTAGAAAGTTTTAAAAGGAGCTTTTCTTAACCTCTGAGCGGTTTCAGGGCTATGGGGTCTTGCTGGCAAACTCACGTGACGCTGCTGTGCAGCACGGCCTGCTGATCCCTCCTGTAATAGGCTTACTATCCCTGCAGCACAAAGTCTACCTCTGGATTTTTAATTACTTGGGATTGTAGACAGCTGCTGTGATGTGTTAACCCACTCCATGGGCCTGGAATGCCTGGTCCTTTTCAAGCTGACCCACAGAAATCAGTTCAAGGCTTGTGTGTTCGCCTTAGGGTGGAGGGTGGGATGCTCAGGGTAGGGTGGTTTGTCTTTCCTGGTGGGCACAAATGTTTGAGAATATTAGCCCCAATGTCTCAATCTGGGGAAAACATGTTGGAACTTTTTCTAAAAGCTCCTAGTGAATCTCCAGTATGCACCTTATGAAACGGTGAAGGGATTTTCACAGCAACTCAGTTCCCAGCTGTGACAGTCGGCAGAGCAGTGCTCCACCCTCAGGAGATGAGCCACACAGAGCAGGACCTCAGCTCGGTTTCTTTAGCCCACTGCAGGGCACTGTCCCCTGCCTCCCATCGGTCTCTTGGGCATCTTCTCCCCAACTCCTAAGCACCTTGCACTGGGGGATACGTATGACACTGGAGGACGCACTGGGAGGAGTAAGCTGCATTCTGCTAGGAGATAACGGGGGACCCTGGTGCCCTGCTTCCTGACCGATTCTGCCCTCACGCACACTAGGGAGAATCGGGAACGAGGCCAGAGAATTCAGTGGAATGCCACTGACGTGTGAGTGAAAGCCCAACGTTCCTGGCCCTGTCACCACTATCCTACCAAGCAAGCTAGCTTGAAGAGTTGGGTAAGGTGTCATCCCAGCCCTCGCAATTAATGGAAAGCAGGCACAGCAGAGCTGTGAGGCTACCAAGATGCAGCCCGGGGGCTGGGCCCGGCCCGCCTAACGCTTTGGTCCGGCTCAGACTCTGATCTCTCTATCCGTCCAGGCCACCGAATTTCCAGACCCTTCCAGCTGCGGCGCTACCCTGGCAAGGACCAGAGCTGTGAACCCTTTAAATAGTCGCAGCCATTCCGGCGGGCTGCCAGGCAGCGTGGGAGCAACGAGGCCGGGAGCCCTTTGATGTGTTTGATTCAGAGCCCCTGACCCCAGATAACTTGGGGGGGAGGCTAGTCCCCAGTCCCAGCCCAGACCCCACCCCTTCAGCCACCAGCCTAC